TAAAGGTGGTCAGCCAAGTAGAAGCTCCAGAGGTCCAGATGCCTTCACACAAGCTCTCAAGACTACCATGACCTGAATTACTGAATCTATATGGACTTCTACATATTTTGGTCATAATGAGTGGTTATTTGAGCTGCTGTTGCCTTCCCAGCAGTGCATTGAGTTACTGCCATGTAACTGGTTGATTAGATATACATTAACAAGCAGATGTACAGGTATAAAAGCAGCTGTGAGTATCACACAGCTACAAGGGTTTCATGTACTGCATGTGGCTCAATGTAAAGTGTTTTTAACCCTAACCCAGGATGACTAGAAAAACCCATCAGTGCCTGAACCACGGAAGTTGTACTGTCCATGATTGCATAATTAATTTGAAGTGAGCATTGACTACCTGTGAGCACCAGCGAATAATTATAGTACGAGTGCCCTCCTGCTGTGCTTCTCTGTGTGTAAAGTGAATACAAATGCAAAGCCCTCAAGGTCTCTGAGAAAGCCAGTGTGTGTTTATGACCCCTGCTGTGATTAATTGTCATATTAGTCTGTGTGCGTGCTTGAGTGAATACAGTAGTCTTGGCAGCTCCACAAGGTGTGTGAGCATTTCCTGCTGTGACAGCGTACACACAGACACACAAAACTCACACTGACTGAAAGTTCACGAGTTCATTTTGAAGTCAGTCACGTCTGAAAACATCAGATTACAAGTCAGCAGGCGACTAAGTCAAAGTGATGCATTAGCCATTTGACTGGTCTATAGTATAAAATAATGCTTCCTGCTGAGACGCACACATTCAAACTCACAATTATTCAGGAATATTTACATGAATGAAGGCGAAAGAGGCACATCTTTACTTAAGGTCATTTTTACTGATTGATTTCTGCAACATACAAACGTGTGTGTGTGGGGCTGAGGGGGCGTGGCTGAATGAGAGTCCCACAGGAGGCGATGAGCAAGCAGCAGCGAATCACATCGCTTATGGTCATGCCGCTAATGATGATTGGAGGGCAGAGGGAAAGGGTGAGTGCGGGCAGGCGGGCTCTCTCTTAAAGGCACAGGTGGGCTCTTTACTGAGATCGAGGCGTGTGCATGAGAGTGTGTGTGTGTGTGTGTGTGTGTGTGTGTGGAGTGGAAGTAAACAGAAAAATGAGGATAACGAATTATAAGAGAATCAATAAAGTTAAAGACAGTCTCTTCTGTTGTGCGTGGGCATACAGATGTGTTGGAAATGACAGCCTTTCTCAAAAAAAAAGAAAAGGGAAAAGGCAGAAAGGAGGGCAGGAGTGGGCGAAGATTAAAGAAGCAAAAACAAAATGGGAAGTAAGTAGGAAACGACAGATGCTCCTTGTAGAGGACAGGACATTCATCTCAGTTGCGCCTTTTAAAAAAAGAAAAAGTTCAAAAAGAATAAGAAATGATGGAGAGGAGAGTGAGTGAGAAACGTTGATGTTTGGGTGGGGAGGGGGGGCAGTGGACTTGTGTCACAACAAACAACTGCATATACAAAAATAACTTTTCAAATACCATTTACAAAAACAAACAACCAATATTATCATCATTATTAATATTATTATTACAATCTTGTTCAGAGCCCGTTGTAGTTATCTCAAAGAGGGCTGGGCTGGCAACCTCTGCTTTTCCTCTGCCAACCAATTAAAACTTTGTTTTTAATCTAAGCATATAATTCCAAAAAAAAACCAAAGAAAAAAAAACAAAAAAAACCAAACCCCTGAAATATTTGCCAGAAGCAAAAACAAGAGGGTAGCAGAATAATTTACAGTTTAAAGAAAAACATTGTGTAGAGGGAGGATTCATCATCATGCACTGATTTTCTTACATCTTCTGTTAATAGGAACATTTAGGAGATAGAAAAAAAGGAAATCTGAAGTATTTTATACCTAAACTGTCCTGTACAGCTCTTTATAAAACAATGCATATACTGTATAGTTATGGCAGCTAATGAAAGAGAACAAAAAAAGAAGAAAAAAAAAAAAGGAGTAAACAGTAGTAGTCCTGGGTCCCTGGCTGCTGTTGTCCTATTGGATCATTGTCTCAGAAGCAGGTAAAGAACAACACGCCGTCAGATGAGAAACCAAACAAGTCTGACTTATAGAGAAGGCTTGGAGGTTTAATTTCAATCTGTCGAGTCAAAGGTTCAAGCGTTTCAGGCGATGTGTAACATTCAGACTCCGAAACACCGGGGTTTGTCGTGAGCAAACTGGCAGCTGAAAGGAAAGAAACTTTCATGGTCGATCAGCTGAGGTTTGGTAGAAGGAAAGAAACCCGACAGAAGAACAGCAAATAAACGGAAGAAATACGAGTCCCGAGCAGACGAGCCAGAAACACAGAAAGAAGAAAAGAGCAAATAAAGGAGGGCTGCCATCAGCTGTCTTCTCTGAAAGGTGGACTAAGGCAGGCTCATGGTCCCAGTTGTGAGAGTCAGAGTCACAGAGCTAACAAGTTCGGCTTTTTCTGTGTTTAATGTCATTTTATCTCAAATGTGGGTAGCTTAGAAAAAAAAATTCTCCAATTCATTAATTTAAGGTGGGACTGTACTCTTTGGTTCAGCTGCTTGGAGCTCACACATATATACTACACTTTACACAAATTCATTGGCTTTAATCTTACCGTTTTTGCTTTCAGACTATAGACTGTATATAGAAGATGTAACCACCATCTGTTTTTGATTTCCGTTTTTAAAACCTCAACTTTTCTTTTTCTTTTTTTTGACAGGTCATATGATCCGTAAGTGCTTAGTATTAGATTAATAAAATGCTAGAATTTCACTCACTGACACTGAAGCACAAACTTCTTTGATATGTCTGTGCAACAAGTCAGATACAAAAATGCCCCATAAATCACCAGCATCGCAAAAATGCTTCCTGTTTGGGTAAACCTGTCAATCAAAACAACGCCCCCCACCCCAGCTTTAAGCCTCACCAGTACCCATGTGAATAAGTAATGTAAAAATCCACCCACCATATTCTTTATATAAAGAGGCAAATAAGTTATAGAGCCCAAAAAAATGCTGGAAATTCAGAGATTTTAATATGGGACTATGGACTCTATGAAGCCTCAAGTGGCCACTACAGAAACTGCAGTTTTTGCTAGTTCGTTCTCATTTTTTTTTTTTTTTTTTAAAGCTCAGTTAGTTGCCACTGAGACATTGACACAACTATTACTGCCCGCTGCCATAAAATCACCAGCTGCACTTTAATGAACACCACAATGGCCAAACTTTGTTAACCTGTCACTCTGGCAGAGAAGCATGGACGTGTAAAATAGCAGAGCTAACAACAGCAGTGAGAAACGGGTAACAGTGAGCTCTAGCGCTTTTGTTTCCGTGACGATCCTTTGTAATGTAGCACCAGCACTTTGAAACAGGGAGAGAGAGACAAAGAGAGAGCACCCTGGCAACCTGTGCATACCCAACAGAAATGGGTAACAGATTATCTAAGTTCGCTTTCAAGATTGTTGTTCGTTCAGTAGGAGGCAACAGACAACTTCTGGGAGTTCAGCCTCCCACAGTAGTTTTTCTAATTTAAGGTAATTCCTGATATAGGAGGGAAAAAAAATTCTCATTTGGCTTTAAACAAAGCGCTCAGCCTGAACACTTATTATTTATATTTGACATGTAACAGCCTTAAAAGTGAGGTGTCTACAGCTCATGGAGGAAAAACATGCCCGCTCTTAGTCTTCTCTCCAGTCACCCCCCCCAAAGAAAACAAACAAAAGAAAAAAAAAAAAAAAAAAAAAAAAAGGTGAGAAACCCCCCCCTCCCCCCCCAGGAATTATCCTTTATTAAAACAGGGAAATAACTGATCCCAGTTCAGCATCTAGAGTAGTCAAACCTGCCAACATCAGCAAGCTGAGGAGGAGAACATTCTAGCCTCTTGACTGTCCCTGCTCGGCACAGTGGCACTTTGCAGGGAGGACTGAGGAGGAGGAGGAAGAGGAGGGTACTGGCAAACAGTCACTCAGAAGGTTTTTTCTATGAAATGCGTAGCATCTATCATCTTGGTTTTTGGACCAGCCAGGTGAGGTCTGTAGACCCCATCTCCTGACAAGGGAGGACAGTGGTGGTGGACGGGCAGCTGGACTGTTCCATCATGTCCACTCCAGGGGGGGTTGTCGAGGACCTTTGGGCTGAATGCAGCGGTTACCGAACCCTGGAAGGAGAAAATGTCTTAGCTCAGTTTGTTTTACCTCAACACCAGAGGGAAAACCTGCCTGTTCTCAAGAACCATCAAACGTTTTCTGCACATGTAGCCCAAAGCGAGCTTTCTGATCAGCAAAATCAGCGGCACAAATCAAAAAATGATGACCTTAATAGAAACCATGTTTGTCAGCAATATTTCCTGCACAGATTCACCATTTATGTTCCTTCAAAGGCTCAACTAGTAGAGACTTGAACAACAACAGTATCCAATCACAATTACAAAATAAAAGCAGTCTACAACAAATGAGACAGTAGACTTACCCACCCAGCTCTGGCTTGCTGTTGTTGCTTGTTGTGGTGCCAGCAGATGGAAGGTCGGCTGGAGAGGTTGTCGCACAGTCAGACGCATCTACACATAATCAAATGCAACAAGAAAGACAGATTAATGGGGTGGAAGTATTCTTGAAATAACAGTGGTGTATATGCTACTCATAACTCAAGTCAATTACATTATAAAGCAGATTTTAAAATGAGTTCGTTAGAGTGATATAGGATCATGTGAGAAAATATAAAAAAAACCTGAAGTCAAGAAGACAGAAAACATGCTTAACAACAAGACAGTACAGGATAAACATACAAGACTCTTAAAATAACTGAAAACAAAATGAATTACAGTGAAACCTTAAATGTTAAAATAGTGTAATCATTAAAAACTACCAACAGCTGTAGAAAGCGGATGTAACAAGTAGATATATGATAGCTTACAGCATTTATTGCTCAAGTCAAAAGTATACTAGTCAAAATAAAGAAACTCAAGTTTTGTGTTTTAAATAGATTTTAGTTTAAAAAAATTTTTTATTTTTTTTTTAGGAGATATGGCCTCTGGACGTGATTCAAGCAGTCACTTGTCTGCTCACGGACCACACAAGTATTTTGTTTTGCTGTTGAGGAGCTGCTCTCCATTCCTGAATGAGTGCAGCCACCTGCTGTGCAAAGATCATTGATTGTGGATGCCTCTCATGAACACATTAACCCAGCATCCAAACACTTGTATTGTATGTTCTGAGACCACCGGCTTGAGAATACAGAAAATTTAACAAACACTACAAGAGAGGTTATTTGTATCGGGTAAACAATCATGACCAACAAAAGTAAATGCAGTAAGAAGATGTTGTGTTCTGGTCTAGTGGAGAATCTACATTATTGTTACAGCTAGCTGCTAGCCCATTATAACCGTTTGTGCACTTTGCACATCTGTGGTACCCAGCTGTATCCCAGAATGCAAAGCACACCTGACCACATGAAGGACTTAGCTCAAACCTGCAGCATACACGTGGATGCAGTTTGCTCGGATTGCGTTCACACCACAAACAAAGTGCTCTGGCGTTCTGAGACCACCTCAGGGTCTCGGTGGGGTTGCTTTGGTATGCACCCGAGCCTGATTACTGCGTTCACACCTGCACACCAAGAGGGGGAGGGACCGAACCAGAGAATAATTTAAACACACCAAATACCACAGGTGGAAAAAACAGCCTACCAGGTTAAAATGTTGTAGAGAGAAATAGATTTAAGACAAAGACGAACACACAAAATGTGTTTTTTTGACGAGGGCTTTAAATGTTTATGTATCAACATGTCCCACGAGACAACATCTGGTTCACTAGGTAGTGTTACATCTGTGCAAAAATTCAAACATTTCTCTCCCATGAAAGTTTGATGCTAAAAGCCCGGCTTGCAAAGCAGCCTTTTTATACTTAAGAAATGCTCCTAGTGAGTTATACTCATAAAAAGGTAAAAAAAATATCCCCACTGAATTAAAGTCAAATAAGCTGTCATAGCCACAGTAAAACTACTGAAGCAATAAATTGGCATTAACCATCATCACACAATCCTCATAGCACAGATAAGCATATGCACTCATTATAATTGCAGCTCTCTCTAGACATGTTTTATCTTTTTCACTCCCTTTTCCCCCTCCTCCTGTATCTCTGTTACTCTCATCCTCGCAGCGGTTTTTCTGACCAACGCTGTCAGTGTTATCATCGGCAGGCTAATTTGTAAATCACCAAAGGTCCCTTTCCTGCTCCGCTCTGCTGGCCAACTACTGTGAGCACAAAAAAAATATCGGGGAACATGCAGAGAGGCAGGGACGGAGAGTTCAAACAGAGGTGAGAGATGAAGAGAATTAGTGGACTAATGATTTGCGCGTTCGCACCTTTATGTGAACTCCACTCGGCTGAAGCTGATGTTTTCGCTTCCAAAGGGTCTGGCGGAGAGGAAGACAATCGGTGAATTTAACACAGGATGGGCGTTTGAGGACAAATGATCAAAAGACACACACAATACAGCACAAACGCACACGCATTCCCACATTCAGACACGCTTAAAAATCACAGTCAATCCTCAAAAAGGTGCTCCCAAGTTGTGCCTGCATTTATGTAAAACATTTGAAATAATTAATTGAACCATAATGATCCAGGCGCACACAGCGGACAGCCTCTTAAACGGCTTTCTTTAAATTAACCTCATCTTTCTGCCCTCTTGTATCCATGTTTCTATTTGTAACTCGCCTCCCAAAGCTGTAACTATGACCGTCTCCATCTCTGCATGGCTGAAATAAGCAATGCTGACCTCTAGTGTTTCAAAACTGCCAAAGTACCTCTCAGCAGTGGTTTAATTCTTAACACAAACACCTCCTTTTCATCTCATGTGCTCCCTCGTGGCGGAATATTTTTAATACTGTTTTCTTCCACTATCAGAGGAGCTGTGCAGGGAGGAAGGAAAAAAGAAGAAGAACAGCAGAAGGCAGCAGGATGGTCGCGCTAATGGCGAGTCAATCCTGTGAACGAGAGGCCTCCTACCTGCAATATGCGAGTCCATCTGGTTGTTTGAAGTGAGGATGACAGAGACTGAGGCCCCTACCTGTTCATACGCTGTACTAGGCAAGAGAAGCAGAACACAGAAAACCAGTTTCCTCCTGTTTCAGCTCACATCAGAGGCTGCCGACTGCATCAAACAACCACTGCTGCCTGGCTTTACTCTCACTACCAAGTTGGCGAAAATATGGCTAAACCACACAGCAGCACATGAATCTTTGATCCAACTGCCTCTTTCCCCCCCCCTTTTGTTAAAAGAAGGACAACACAATAACGTGGCCGCCCAGTCAATCCACACCACTGGGTACACACCTGTGGAACTTGACCAATGCAAACGCACCTGTGGCCAGTATGAAGGACTCAGGGGTTCGCTCGGGGAGAGGGGGAGGGGAGTCGTCGCTGTCCCAGCAGTCTGGGTTAAAAAGGTCAGAGGTCAAATGAGAAGCAAGGTTAACTACTGGCCGAGAAGAAAGGCAAAAAGATCGGCAGTCATATGGAGACAAAAAGGCAAGAATGTTAAATGTTATTTAATTTGTCTGCATATTGTTACTTTTTTATACAGATATTCACTGGTTCTATTTGGTGTATATCGTATTATCATTACTTCATTTTAGGGATCAGAGAAATGTCCGTATAGTCTCATGTTTGCCATGCTGGCTGCCACTGGACTACTGGCAGATAAGATGACATTGACCCTTAGTAGTGTCGCTTACTGATCTGCTCATTTTGTCCTTAAAAGATCTGGGATCCAGTTTTTGTTCAGCAAAGTTACATTTGTGCTTAAAGATTTTAAAACCGTTAATAATCTGTTAATTTCTCTGTCTGGCAAGAAACAATGAATAAATGAAAATAAAAACAATATCCACAATGGCCAATCTGTTATTTTTAGCGATGTTTTCAGTTTGTGGAACCGCCACACTTAAGTCATAGCTACAGTTTCTTAAAAATCTCTTCTTCAAAATTCAGCATCATCGTTACCCGGTTATAGTTAAGTTAGTGTGACATATGAAGGGGAAAATATGACACTTTAAAGTTTGGCTGGTTAAGATACTTCTGCTTTACACAAAGCCAGCAGTTATCCTTGCTATGAATTATAAATTAAACCCTTCTCATATGCCAACCAAGAAAGTTAAAAAAGAAATCAGCTGACTTTCTTGGTTGGCAAAAAGAGTCAAAGTCAAAATCTTAAGTTAAATATTAGGTGATGTCCCCTTCATCTAATATTCCACCATCTGGCCAAGGCCCACTGCCTTTCTGTGGATACTCCGGATGCTCGAGCTTCCTCCCAGAGTCCAAAGACATGCAATTAGTGTGATTAGGTTAACTGGTGATTCTAAATTGCCTATAGGTAGGGCTGTTCGATATAACGATATATATCAGATGACGATATAAAAACGTCTATCGTTTCATTTTACGCTATCGTTTGTTTCGTGGTGTCGTAAAATAAACCGTTTACGGCAATATTTTTTCATCGTTTTGATGGTCACTGTAGTGGCTATATTCATTTCTTAAAGTTCTCTCTTTCTCTTATATTTAAAATAACCACACTACTGACGGACAAGCGGCTGTTTTTACGCGTTGTCGTTAGCAACAACAACGGTAAAACCATCGCTTGTCCGCTTGTTTATTTTCCACACAAACCTTTCACAATAAAGCTCAAGATCCTGTTGAGACTTTTCAAAATAAACTGAATCACGCGAAAGAGCAGATTATTTACGGATGAGAAGTAAAAAAAGAGCCGCCAGGTGCTAAAAAATAAACCTTAGACTCAAACGTTAGAACAGGCTTTTCCCCGCAGCAGGCTGTGTAATAAATACTCACAAAGAAAACGGCGGCCGTTACAACTTATGTCTAAAAATGTATCGTTTCATGCATCGGTTAAAATACTCGACTCCAGGTACACGACGCGCAGCTGGAAACACTTCACGCAAGTCGAGCTGCCTGAGATTCACAGAATTTACATAAAATGTTACAATTTTGTGATTTATATGTTATCAGATGATAGATGTATTATATCGGGATATGAGATTTTGGTCATATCGCACAGCCCTACCTATAGGTGTGAATGTGAGTGCAAATGGTTTGTCTCTCTGTGTTAACCCTGCATCCCTGCAGGTGACCTGTCTAAATTAAAAAAAAAATCCCAAATGTTGTCTGAAGGTTTTTAGGTGTAGATGGGACACAACACCACCTCAGCATAAACTGTATGCTCTGGTAAATGTCATCTTGTTTGCAGACAGTCCAATCACAGTCAAAAACGCAAAAGCTTAAGAAATGTATTAGACCACCTGTGTTTAAAAACAAGAAAAACATTTTGTATTAGAAATGGATCAAAAACTGATTTTTTCTGTAAACTGTACATATAAAAACTCATGAATAACGTGATAATTATATTTCAGAATTAAAAACACTGTTTTGATTATTTTTATAATTATAAACTAAAACATTAGCTGTATATATATTTGATCCCTCCATAATTTCCTGCTCATTTTGCTTAATAATTCTTTGTTTGCTACAGGCTTGTAAAGCACTGTGAGCTGCACTAATCTCTCTAAAATGGGCAATTACAAAAGGTGTGAGTGATTCATTGGCAATGCAGTCAGCAAAACAGGCAGCCACCAGCTTTCTATTGACCAACCACAAAGCAGCAATTTGCTCAGTGCAACTCCTCAACAAAGCAGCCATTAGATGCTTGCAACCAATCAAACAGCAGCTGTTAGCTTTTCATAACTGAAGCACTGCTGCAGCCCAGACAGAGTGTGAGAGAAAGCCAAGCAGACTGAAACAGTCGACGTCAAAACAGACACATTTTCACACCCGATTTTAATTATTGGAAATACTTGAGGAGAGCGTGACATCAGGAATAATGCCAGAGATTCAATGGCATATCAGTATATTTTGAATTTAAACTGCACAGACGATTTAAGCCCAGTCCACTCAATTTCACGTGAGCTCAGATCAAAGAAAGAAGAGCAGCAGAAGTCTCAGTCCTCACACCCCACCAGGAGATTAAAACCCACTTCTCCTTGTCACAATCACATCAATCCCAAACAGCGTGACACTGTCTGTTTGACCCAACGTGCACCAAAGTGGCGTAAGTGCATTCATCAGTATCATGCAGTGTTGATCTTTCCCCATCCAACATGCACACAGTTTTCTCGCCAACACACAAAACAATTTCATTCATCCTTTCTCCCATTCACAAATTCCCTCACTTAGACAAACACACATAAACAAGCTGAAGGAGGAAGAGTTGTTTCCACACATGTCCATATTTGCAGCATTCCTCCCAAACCAACCAATTAGTCAAACAGTCATGCTTTGTGTGAGACTCACTGGAAACTATCTCTCTCCGATTTTGTCGTCATTTCCTCTTATTCCTTTCTTCCATTCCTCCTGTTTTGCCCTCTCCTGGCCTCTAACTCCTCAGCAGTGAGAACACAGTGTGTGTGTTGACAGATATAGCTTGTCATTAGATTGTTGTTTGAGACCTCTGGCTCCTTACCGACCCAGAAAATTACTCTACAGTGTGATTTTTTTTATTTCCTGAGTGTGCAGTAGTTGAGTGCAAGCTTACTTGGTGCCTTCATGTGCATTTCAGGGAGATTATTCTTGACTATTTGCCTGCTAAACCTCATTGTTTAGTTTTCATAATTTCTTAATTAATTTCACATATTTTAAAGAATTGAGAAGGAAAGCAGTTCAAGCAACTGATCGACCTACTTGCTAAGGATGGAGAGACCGTTGGTGTGATCTGCCCTGCAATTGACATCGGCGACACCTTTCTGACCGGCTGCTGGTCTCCATGTTGAGAGGATGCCGTTACGGTGGCAGTCGCTGTGGATACGCTTGTACGAAAAGCTTCCTTTCCTCCTCCAGACATCTCCTCGGACACCTTCCCCTCCTCGTCCGAGTTGTCAGAGTGCAGGGGGTTGGTGAAACTCAGGGCAGTCCTAACAGGTGTGGAGGAGGAGGAGGAGGAAGAGGAGAGGTGGGAGGAGGAGGATGAGGATGGAGCCACACGGTCTGAGGAGGAAGAAGAGGAGGTGGTCTTGGGGTACTGTTTGTCCGGGCTGTTGCTGTGTTGAGTCCACGCTGCATGGCCGGCTTTCAAATCCCCTCCCTGCTTCTCCACCTTCTCTCCACTCTTCACAGGAAGGTGGTTCGGCCTGGCGAGGCTGCCTCCATCTGCTTGACTCTCTCCACATCCACAAGCTCCTCCCTCTGTGCCAGAGTCCTCTGACAGAGAGGAGCTGGATGTCAGAAGGGACTGACCAGTGCGAGCTTTAAATGCGTGACTTCTTTGCAGTGCGCAGCTGTTGTTACTAGAACTGGAGCCTTGTCCGCCGGCTACTCCCATCGACGAGGAGGTGTCAAAGCTGCGAGGTCCTTCTTGCAGTGGCACCTTTTTAATCTCAATGCTGAGCTTCCTCTCGATTCGAGGAGCACCAGAACAATCAACAGCTGGGGAGAGGGGCGAGGATGGGGTCTGAGTCTGGCTTTGGCCTGATTCTGACTTTGAAGACATTTTGTTGTTGTAGTTGTCATTGAGATCCAGACTTGAGACCTGACTCTGCTGTTTTCGGCTTAGTTGCTCTTGATCTTTCTGCTCTGAGGGACTGGTCTGTTTGTTTGGACTGGGCTCTAGCTGATTCTGCTGCTGGTCTGTGTTCTTATCCTGAAATAAACGTAAAGTAGAACAAATGAGACATGTAATCTCCCCCCCTTCACAAAAAGCAAAACATTCACACGCCACCAGAAATCTTTGATGTTTAAGTTAGAGTTCAGAAAAAGCTGATTAAGCAGGCCCCACACACAAAACAAACATGAGCTGTAGGAGAACAAAACAACCTTATTTATATTCATGCATTTTCATACTTCTGCTGTTATTATAGACTGTGAGCCGGTTGTTTTCCCTTCTAGACTGAAACTTAATTCTTCTGAAATAATAATTTACTACATTTTACTTGCACAAAAACAAAAATCATCATAACAGACACATAGATCATGGAATCAGCTGCAGTTCTTTAGTGATGTTACGGTTTGTTTAGAACATAAATAATGTCAAAAGACAAAAATGCAACTTTTTCCACTGCTAAAAGATAAAGATTTCCTTTTTACAGCATCTCATTTTGATACTTCCTGTAAAGTTACACCTATACCTACATGATGGGAACTTTTCATTGGAACAAAAACAACTTAAACAACTCAACTTGGTAATGAACTTAATTTTCCACTTAAATGTGTAATTACGTGCTCCTAAACCAGGACCACTGTAATAACAGGGAGTACCCATGTCAGAGGGCTAACTCCTACTTTATGGTCTACGTACTGGCTGCGTCCTGCCCCATCTGTGATATCTTCACAACTATGTAACTGATGCCCCGTGAGCATGAACGAGTGGCACAACACACACACACACACACACAAAAAAACCCCAAAGCAAACAAAAGCGATGGATCAACGACAGAAAAAGCTCGAGTAGCCCACAGACAGGATGTACCACATATTTTTAACACTGCCCCTCTATCAGCCGTCCCTCCAAGTATATGGACATCTATAGCTGCCAACAGACTGCCCACGCACTATCGTTGCTAAATCACAGCTTCCCCATCATTCAGTCTAGGAAATTCCATAACCATTAGCTGACTTAATATATAACAGGTTTTACCAGACCAATTACTATTCTTATATCTGTGCAACTTCCCATGTACAATAAAAACCCTTTAGATACATACCATGCAGTTCTATACACAATAGTATCCTATAAGTTGCCAATTTTTAGTTTATGTCCAGCTCACCTCTGTCACGTTGTGCTGCGCAGTAGCGAGGACATGGATGACGGGTTTGGGATGGTAGCGGTCATTGTCCTGTCGCACGTTCGTGACAGTCGGGAAGGCTGACGGAGGAGATGGGGTCAGAATGGGTGGTACGGGGTGAGCCTCTGGGGGTTGGAGGATCTCTTCCTTTACGTCGCCTTCTACCTGCGTACTAGACCGAGAGAAAGAGGGAGAGGAAAAAAAAAAAGAAAAGCCCACAAGAGTTTGTTACTGAATAAATATTACAGTTGACAGTGAGAGTGACAGGCTTTTGATGATCTTTAATGAGACATTCCTGCAGAGCCCAAAATTCATAAAAAATTATTTTTTACTGTTAAACTAAACCCTGGATTTTCTAGCCTGGATAAAAAGTTAGTTTTGTGCTGCGGGTAAGAAAATCAAAATGATGCAATGGCAAGAAATTCATCCTGCTGATCAGGAAACGCCCAGAAATTCTGACATCCTAAGAAGGGCGAATTACAAGACTTATATGACGAAATTAACTTTTAATCTCATGTACGTATAAAACTAAAAGTAGGTCTGTGCTATGTTTTGTTCACCACTAGATGGCAGAATTTGAAAAAAAGTCTATACTTTTAGCCTTGTAGAGACAAATTCCATTTCTTATGTGATATTTTAAGACTTCTGCTCTCACCCATATTATGTGGCTTTAACAGTGACATAACCTGCCAATGTGCCAAAGTGAAAACGGATCAGTGCTAAAGAGTTTCATTTCTCAAAATATAAATGGTGCTGTAACCAACAGTCTAAGACAGCTTTCTTCTTAAAGTATCGAAAGTATTTTATTCTCTTCCGTGCAGCTTCCTCAGAGCACAGAAACAGAAAAAGACAAGTGTCAGTAACATGACAGCATCTATGGCTATTCAAGATAAGTTGTGAATGATTACTTCACCGTCCCACATAACTTTACCACATGTACAGTATTTTAGTAATGTAGCCTACTAATAAATAGTTCTGTAAAGCTCGCAGTGTAGGTGTGTGAGTTGCATACAGGATACAGTGGTTATGACAAAGCTAGCCACAGAGAGATGGAAAGTGACACGAGCAAATATTGTTCAATACATTTATATGCTGTACGCATGCAAAAAATATAGATACAGAAAAGCAGTCAAAGGAAGTGGTGGTGTACCAATTTAGGAGCACATGACCAAGACAAGAGCCAGCATACAGGCTGACAGCACATGATGCTGTGTGTGGATCAGAGGCAGGCAGACACAAAGTCAGACACTGAAGTCGCAAGCTAGAAGCTCGGGGGATTTCCTTTCATTGAGCAACTTTGGAGTTGCAGTCAAACCATAAAAGCCTTCCTCATTAAGCCTCAGAATTGCAGCACAGAAGACGTTCTTCTTTCACAGAGGCTTAGATCTGCTGTGTGTATTCTTGTTTACTTGCTCTTCCAGACAAACATTTGTTCACATTTTTTAATAATAACAGGCTAGGATGCACACTAGATTAAAGAGCCCAGCTGATAATGGACTCTTAAGGCCGGTGCAGTTTTGATGTTCTCCAGAAATGTACACTTCCCAACCCAAAGAGTCTCACACACTAGTATTTCAGTGGACTGCCTTTAGCTGTGATGTGGCATTGTTTCAACAAACTTACGGAGTGTTAGAGGATTTGGACCACTGTGTAAAGTCTTTTGCAGCACATCCCAAAGGATTCTCAGACGGGTTCAGTTCTGAACTCTGATGATTGATTCATGTGCAAAAATTATGTCTCATGCTCCCATGTGAACCCAATGAATCCTGGCATTGTCATCTTGGCCTATGCCCGTACTACCAAAACAAGACAAGAAAACAAACAAACAAACAAACAAAAAAAAAAAAACACTGATGCAAAATGTAAGCAGTGTATTCAAATAATCAGCTGACCAATAGAAGCAACCCAAGAATCATAAAACTGACCTCACAACCTTAGTAGGCACTAGGCACGCCCGTGATGTGCGTCTAGAATCCATGCTTTTTACATTGCCAAGCAAACTGACAGCTACACAGCTGTTTAGTCCCAATCTCTTGGGTTCTCTTCACATTTTGCATTTAGAAATGATCTTATTTTCACTAATAAACATAGTAATACTAAACACAGTAATCTCAAACAACTTTCCTTATAGATTTATTCCTGACCACACCTGACACTTTAATTGAACACTTCATAAGGTAGCATCAGTAGTTTCTGCTTCTTTTGCTTGATGCAAAATAATGTAACCTTTCTGAAACATCTTTTCCACGATCCCGGGACATGTCTTCTGACATGTTTTAAGCAATTATCCATTGGAAGACTGTTTGCATTTGCTTCCTTAAATTAAGTAGCCTTTTTGGCTAAATTGTGTATTTCACAAACTAGTTAGAAACTTGGGCTCGTGTCAAAATGACCACATCCACAAAAATATGACTACTTGACATTTCCTAACAAGAAGGCTATGGACATACAAACCTCCAGTATCCCAAAATAACGGGCTAATATCAGCTAATAATATAGGCCACTGAATAAAGCCAAACTAAGCTGATTGTATTGTAAAACTAGAACTCGTGTGCATAACTTTTCCTCCAATTCTTGGAAGGGTGGGCTGTTCCAGAACAACAGCATATTTAGCTTTCAGGCTCAACATAACTTAAACTAGACACCACTATCTCTTTGTTTTCTTTAATGAAAACTTTAATTACCCATGAGAATTTCTTCTTCTATGTCATCTTTGTTGCCTGAGCAAGCATGAGATATTTAACAACACAGATTCCCAACTGGATCCGGTTATTTCCATGGGGGATTATAGACATTCGGATGCCACAAAGATTTTTTTTTTGGGCCCTATAAGATGAGATGAGATGAAATTTTAATGATTCCTAAGGGGAGGTTGAGCTGTTACAGGAGCAAACACTAATAAGTCACTGAAAAACAAACAAGGCGTAAAGAGAGGAGAATAAAGAAAAAATGAAGCTGCAGGCAACTCGGTGACAACTGCAGCATGTATGACGAAATGTAAACATGTATTACAAAAATATAAGAGTTTAAATCAAATGCAGAAAGTACTAGTACTGCTGCTTTCCTGAGGGATCTAATGATTAAATAAAAAAGCCCAAATTATTCTGTTTAATGATAAAAGATGAAAAAGATCCAAGATTTCTCTCGTTTTGTTCAACAGAAGCAACAACACTTCAATTCAGCTCACTCTAACTTTTGCTAAAAACTGCTAAAACTATCCTGCAACAATGTCAGTATACAAAAAATGTATTAGTGTCATGTTGTCAACCAGCACAATGTCAAAAATCAGTCCTATCATGTTAGGACACTGGTGACACAATCCAGAAGAGTTCATTGTGACTATACCAGGATCTGCCCACAGTGTTCTTCATATTGTGTAGGTAGTAGGGGTGGGGGGAAAAATCGATACTGTGTAGTATCGTGATATTTTGTTTGCTAATAATGTATCGATACAGGGACAGCAGAAATCGATATTTTGTTACAAAAAAAGTTTTTGTGGAGTGGAACATGCTCTGACTTCAGAGCATGTTGATCCTTTTTCTGAGCAAGAATCCTGACATTCCTTCACTGTCCAAATGTGTTTAACTTTTTTTTTGGCAGCAATAAACACGACAGTTTACTTATTTTAATTTAAGACATGTTTTATTTTAATTAAGTAAACATTTTTATTTAATGTAAAATTATATTTTGTTTTAATTTACTTTCAAATTCTTCAGTTGCTGAACGGGCTGCATAGTTTTCATAAATTGCATAGTTCAGAATAGCTATAATTGTACCAGATGGTTGCATTCAGTTAAGTTGGACTAGACTGTAATACAAACTGTTCAGTTTGTCAACAATAAAACTGACTGAAATGAGAGACTGAGTGTGAGACTTTGATATTAGATAAAATAAATATTGATAAAGTTTACCTTTATGTACAGAGTCTGAATGTCGCAAAATATTTAAAAAAAATTGCAATAATATCGTATCGTGCGTTAAGTATTGTGATAATATCGTATCGTGGGATGTATGGTGATTCCCACCTCTAGTAGGTAGCTCCCTTTTCGCCTGCTAAACAACCACTTCCCCATTGTGTCCTTTAAAGATGTCCTATAGTGACTGGCACCGACACATGAGCAGCAGATCCAGTCGTGCAGGGTGTAAAGTGGGAGGGTCAATGGATCAGACTTGTTTTTCCAGCACATCCCAGGGATGCTCGATCAGAATGAGATCTGGGGAATTTGAAGGCCATTTCAACACCCTGAACTCTTTGTCATGGATCTCAAACATTCCTGCTGAAGACTAAGGAGTGTATGTAGCATGTTTGCAAGTTTAGGTAGGTGTAACAGTCACATCAGTGCCACAGCTGCTTCCACTGGCTTGTGTTCTTTCTATTATCTTTTGCCATCTTTCCCCCAACATGCACCTAGCCACAGAGACAAGGTAAAAGCGGAAGTGATGTGTTTTAGCAACCAGCAGTAGAGTTTTCAGAACTTTGGCTTAGACTCCCTTCAGGTCTTGTGGCATCATTGAGTCATGCTCAGTTCTCCTGTTTTGGTAAGTACTAATCATTGCTTACTGGGAACACATGACATAATGTGTTGGAGATGCTCTAATCTAGTTGTCTGGTCACTACCTTGACAAAGTCACTCACTTTAGTTTCCAAGTTCAACACATCAACTTCAAGAACTCTTCACTTGTTGGTTAATAGTGATTATCGTGGCCAGTGTTGGGAAGGTTACTTTTAAAATGTATTCCATTACAGATTACAGAATACATGCCCCGTTTAGATCCTCTGTGTGAGGATCTAAACGTATTCTACGCTAGATTCGACACAGCGAACACCATGAGACCGGACAGTGTGCGCACCGCGGATGACGTCAGTGCGCACACTGTGTCTGAGGAGGATGTGCGGAAGTGCTTCAGGAAGGTGAACGCACGCAAAGCTACTGGTCCGGACGGGATTCCCGGCCGCGTCCTCAAGTCATGCGCGGCTCAGCTGGCTGGAGTGTTCACGCACATCTTCAACCTTTCCCTCTCTCTGTCTGTAGTCCCAGCCTGCTTCAAAATGGCCACCATCGTCCCTGTACCCAAATCCTCCACCATCTCCTCATTGAACGACTGGCGACCTGTAGCCCTGACCCCCATCGTAAGCAAATGCTTCGAGAAGCTGGTCAGGGACTTCATCTG